CACCCACAGACTGGGGTGCAGGGTCGACAGCATGACTTAAAAAGCTAGATGTGGGGCGCATACCCGGCCCCCAGCAGCTCCTTAAACATGCCAGCCATACACCCCTTTGGCCTTTGCTCTGGCTGGTTCCTGGGTCAGGACACCCCTTCCCATACCCCAGCGCTCCTTCCTGAATATACAAGGTAAACAACAAGATGGCACTTTCTTTTTTCTTTTGCTTTTTAAGATGGCATTTTCCATCTCAAGTAAACCTACACTGCGGTCGCCAACGCAAGCCAGCCGTGGGGGAGGCTGACCCCTTTCTCCCTCACTGCACACAGCCAGGGCTCAGCAACGCGCGGAGAGCCTAACTGCAGACGTCACCCTCCTGACCCTGCACCTTCTCTTCCTGACCCACCACAGGAAACGTTCCCAAACTACACACCGACGATGATCTTGATGCAAATAAGCCCGTCTGTCTAGTTTTATCTCAGTCAAAACGACGCAATCAGAATGTCTAGCTTTGGAAAAACGTATTCAATGGCATGGAGGAAAGACAGTGTTAAAACGAATCCCTGAATCCTTGTTTATACACACTACGATTCCAACTGCGTATGGCTGGACACCAACAGAAGGCACACTTAGGGCGCCTGGCTCCGACGGACTCGCCGTGCGCTTCTGCAGGGACCAGGCAGGACTTCTGGAACAGGGGGGAGGAGACGCTTTGCAAGCCGGGCGCCTGGAGGTTACTCACCTTGCACGTGGCAGAGACCGTATTTGCTCTGATAAAAACGCACGGGCACTGCAGCCCCGCAGAGCCACCCGCGCCCCTGTGCCCCTTGGCGCGCCCCTACTTTCTCCTAAAACCTGCTTTCCCCCCGCGTGGGGGCGACAGCCAGCGTGGGCGAGGCCCAGGGCACCGCCACGGGCGAACCGAGTGGGAGGCGCCTCTTCTTGGACGGGAAGTGGACGCGTTGACCCAGAAGGCGGGGTCTGCGGCGGGGCCAGTCCGCCTCCCGGGAATGCTGGAGGGGGGGGCTCTGGAGG